TTTCCAAGATTGTGGATACTTCCTGGAAATTCACATTAAGGGAGTCTTTTGTTTGCTTATTCTTATTACAGTACCTAAGAAACTGTAATTAATTCTGAAGGAAATGGTCTCCCACAAGTCTTTCTTAATCCTGGTGACCTTTGAATTACTAGAATTTTTCTACAGTGAGCAAAAATAATCATGCAACAAAAAAAAATTAGTGTAAATGCTTGGTTGATTTACTTTGTTAACAGAAAAAAGAAATCTTGCTCCCTGTCAGTTGCTAGGTAAACTGGTGATTATACCTTCAGAATGATAGGTGTTGATGAAAAAAAAATGGTTCTCTACTCTCATCACTAGACAGACAAAATAAAATACTGATGACAACGATGATCATGATGATGACTGCGACAATAACAATGACGACGATGAAGTAATGAAATTTAAAAATTAAACAAAAATCTTGTTTTCCATGCCCTTACAATGAACCAAATTAAATGCCAATCTAGTTCTAACTTCCTGATATCTCATTTTGTAGTAAACTGTGTTGATAGACACATGCAGGTTGATCCTGATCGTTGTGCCATTATATGGGAGAAAGACGAGCCAGGGGATGTCCAGAGAGTCAGCTACAGGTAATTACTTTCCTCATGCACCCAAACTTCAAGGGCCTTTTATTGACAAGACTGCAAGTTTGCTAGTTGTCAGACACTAGGTTTATACTAAATGCATATAAACATTTTTTTTTAAGCTCTTATGAGCTACTTGCTAATTTAGCTACTTACTGTTTTTCTAATATGTCTGACAGAGAGTTGTATGAAATGGTGAACAGGATGGCCAATGTCTTAAAGAGCCACGGAGTCAAGAAGGGAGATGTAGTGTGTATCTACATGCCCGTAAGTCCACTAGCTGTTGCCGCTATGCTGGCTTGTGCACGGATTGGTGCCCCTCACAGGTCAGTTGCAACTATCATTACTATTTTCTTCATAGAAATATGTAAAAAGGACATCATCTTTTCCTATAGTTTGGCCATGAAAAAACAATTTCTAAGCATAGTGTTGTGAATAAAGATATTCATGTGCTTTGAATTAATTTTTGATTTTTAATAATTAATTTTTATATGTATTTTAATTGTAGATGTATAGATGTTTTGCAATTAGTATTCATANAGGTAATAAAATCCAGTAGCCTGGCTGCAAAATCTCGTAGCCTCAGGCTATCAAACACAACTTTCTTTGCATGCTGAACATCATCTTGAGTTGTGGTTACAAACCTGTAGAAATTTTATATGATTACCTCTGGCTAAGACCTTCAATAAAATTAATAGTTTATTTTTCCATTACAGTGTTGTGTTTGCTGGATTTAGTTCAGAAGCGCTTGCTAGTAGAATTAATGATGGTAAGGCATGGACCATTTGACTGTTGAGGCAGAGGGTGGGTGATTTAAAAATATATAATTATATATATCCTGCAAGCATACTTGTACCAAAAAAATAATTTGTGCAAGTGGCCACTTGTGATAAAAATTTCATGCACATTCAGTGAGTTAAAAAAAGCATGTTACACATGAAAAAATATCATGCGTAACAATAATTTATTTCCTCTTTCATGGGTACAATTTTGACTCTGTGAATTATCTGCATGGAATAATTTACTTCACCCCTTACTCTTGCAAATAATTGAATGGATATTAATAAGATAATGAATAAATATAAGTTATTAATGTATCGGTGTGGTGCTCATTGTGTCTCGTTTTGTAGCAAATGCTGAAACAGTCATTACAGCAGACCAAGTGGTACGTGGTGGCAAAGTTGGAGAGTTAAAACAGACGGTTGACAAGGCTGTGGCTGCCAGTCCTTGTGTGAAGAGAGTTTTTGTGGTCAGCCGCACAGGCGCTGATGTTCCAATGGGAAAACTTGACATTCCTCTTGAAAAGGTAGCCTTCCATCTTTTAAAGTCAGTTATGTGCAGAAAATAGCTCTTAGGTTATAAGTTTTAGTTTGTTTATTTTAAGTTGGTGTTTGTTTATAATTTGTCCCAAGGAAATGTGCAAGCAGTCAACAGAATGTGAACCCGAGCAAATGGACAGTGAAGATATTTTGTTCTTGTTGTACACGTCTGGCAGTACAGGACAACCAAAGGGTGTGGTCCATACACAGGCAGGGTATCTACTTTATGCTAAGCTTACACACAAGGTATGTTTACAATGGACAGTTCTTGATTGTGATACTTTGTTACTTATGATCTGACTATTTTAAAGCCTTGTGCACATGCATGGGGCATGCAACTTTGCAAACAATAGTGAATACAGCTCTGCCGCAACAGCTAAATGTAATACTGCTGATGTGATGTGCAAGTTCTGATGTAACACTTACATAGAAACTAAGCTGGTAATGTTCGTCAGATCAAATGGTAGAGAGGAGCATATGTGGTGACATCTTGGAAAAAGTGCTATAGGAAAAAGCATTATAGGATCTGAGCAGCCTATGGAGGTTTTTGCTACTGTTTTGTTAATGCAATGTTTGTGTGATTTGTTTATAACCAACTGAAGCTATTTTAAAATGTCTTTTCAGTACGTGTTTGACTATCATCCAGGTGATATATTTGGTTGTGTGGCCGACATTGGTTGGATTACAGGGCACACATATGTGGTATATGGGCCACTATCTAATGGGGCTACCACAGTTCTGTTTGAGAGCACCCCGACTTACCCTGATCCAGGCCGCTACTGGGAAATGGTGGAAAGACTCAGGATAAATCAGTTCTATGGAGCGCCAACTGCGATAAGATTGTTACTCAAATCAAGCAACTCGTATGTCACAAAGTACGACAGATCATCTTTAAAACTCTTAGGGACAGGTTAGTTGACCAATACTCAGTTTACAAATGAAATAATTAAAATTCATATTTGTATCTTTGTGTGAAATGAAGCCAGAACAAATATTATTAAGCTGAAACACTTTACCAAATACACTCTTTGGAGTTGGTACATTGTATATGTAAGGTCAAATGTCCACTAAAGGGCCACCTTTCTATGGCCATTTTTTTTGGTCCCTGTGGATAGTCTACAATCATTTGGTGTGGCGCTCTTATTTTAACCTGTTAACAACAGCCACCTATCCACAACAGCAACAGCCATTGTAACAAACTCCAACTGCCAAAATAACCTCTTGTCAATGGCCAGTTAATCAACAACTGACAAACAGTGTATACAAAACCCCATGTTATTGTTAAAATGTGACCAAACTTGATGCGTACCATGCATCATTAGTCTCTGTATCTGTTTTACTGATATATTTTGATGGCATACTGTATTTACATGCTAAAATAAGCTTAGGAATTTTTTAAAAAAAAAAAAAGAAAGCTGCACCCCCTCAAAAACAGGTGTCATATTACTCCCCATAACAGCCACTTTCCTCTGTCCCCAAGGTGGCTATGATGAAAAGGTTCGAGTCACTGTATCAAAGTAATCACTATATACTTCCTTTACCTCATAGAAAAAACAAGTTTTTGTGATGTAATAGTTAAGGAACTGAGTGACTGTTCTGACTGAAATATTTGTAGTGTTGAGAAAAGCAACTGTTAAAGTAGCTTAGGTTGCTTCTATATCTTTGTATGTTCAAATAATGTATGTTCAGACACAAAGTGTTGTGTTTACTTTATTCTGATGTGCAGTTGGTGAACCAATTAACGCTGAGGCATGGCACTGGTACCATGAGGTCGTTGGGGAGAAGCGATGTCCTATAGTGGACACATGGTGGCAGACAGGTGAAGCTAAGTACTTTTCTTGCAGTAATGATTATATTTATGAGGCTAATTATCAGAGTAAATTGTGATTATAAAATATACCCAATCCTACCTTTTTGGTACACTTTGGAGGCATGTAGTTGAGCCAAATACCCATGAAGAGACCAAATGAGCCAGATATGTTGGTACAATTGGGTACCATACCCAAATTCCACCAAGTGACCAAGATATCGTAGCCATATCAGGTCAGTGACTTGTTATCCCAGTATCAGGGCGCTAGCACTAGGCCGGCCTTCTGATTTGCTGATATTATTGTGAATTTGGGTACAGCAAGTAAAAATACCATGATCACCAATTGAAAGTAAATTGTAAAAACTGAATTATTTAGCATTGTTTTTGTTTTCTTTAAAAAAAGAAAAACAATTGTTTAAAACAATTTCTTAAGAAACAAAAAAAACCCATTGTTTAAAAACATTGGGTCAATCTGCTTTTATACAACCATGCAGGGCCATAACCAGAAAAAAATTATGGCTGAGGCAATGTCCATGGTTTAATTCTCTATCTAGGTATTTAGCAGTGTTTTACTTTCCTTCTTCAAAAAAGAAATAACAGAAACGAAATAAATGACTGAGGCAAGTGCCTTGGTTTTCTCATGCATGTGTTTTTTTGGTACCTCACTCCTTTATATAAACACCTACCATGGGAAATTGTTTCTTTGCACAGAATTTTCATGTACTTCAACATGTCTTTCCCTTGTTGTGAGCAGAGACCGGTGGGATCCTGCTGTCTCCAAGACCTGCACCAGATGATTCCGCCCTCAAGCCTGAGTTTCCTGCAAGGCCCTTCTTTGGAGTAGAACCAGTTATTTTGGATGATAAGGTTACTGCAGATAGCCTGTTTTTGCTTTTGTGCATGTGTTTGTTGCTTACATTTTATAGTTGAGCGTCTCTATGGGCCCCAGGTACAAGAACTCCCACATAAAAAGGACAGGGGTGCTAGCCATACCCTCTAGGGGTTAAAAATGCAGCTTGGTACCTCTTAGGGTGTTCAGCCTGAAAAGGTCCACAGCAGGAGCTTTTGGGGTACCCTTTCGGGTATTGAGCCAAAAAAATTGACAGGAGATAATGGGTACTTACCATTTACATGGGAAAACCAGAAATTCCAGTTAGAAAATCAAATGGTTTGGGCCATTCCGTTTGGGAAGCTTCAGAAAATGTGGGCTGTGATTTGAGGTGATGCTATTTTTCTGCTCTTTTAAGTCTCTCTAGCTGATGTGGATATACTTTATAGCGATTCCTTCTCCCGCAACGTGGCATTCACTTGTTTAATGTTTATGCCTGAAATTTCCAACCGGATGGTTTTTGTAAATGGTAAGCACCCAGTGTTTTGTTTTAGAATTGGTACCTCTTAGGGGTGAAAAAAATTTCCAGCCACGCTCACAAAACAGGATCTCGGCACCTCATAGGGTGTTTTTTTTTTCAAAATTTCTGACGAGCACCCCTGTCCTTTTTATATGGAAGTCCCCGCCAGGCAGGATTTTAACCAGGATTCCGTGAGTAGCCATCCACTAATAAATATGGGGCCGGAGACCCCATCCCGTTAGGGGGTCTGGTGGCATGCCCCCCCCCCCTCCCCAGAAGAAAATTGAAAAAGAATTGTAGCGTTTTAGTTGCGTTTTCCTTGATTATCAGCTGATAAATGTATTGATCGGACTTAAATGATCATGAGTCAAACAAACGTCAAACCTAAAATAGATTGAAAGTGAGCTACGCAGGCTACCCATAGAGAAGCTCATACTCGCTTATGAACTGTTTCAGGGTCGAGAGCAGATTGGAAACGACGTGAAAGGAGCCTTATGTATCCGTACATCCATTCCCAGCATGTCCCGCACTATATATGGACATCATCAACGCTTTTTAGATACCTACTACAATCCTTTCAAAGGTGTGGTTCCTTTTTTTTCGTGACCTTGCTCAACCTTGGTTCCTTTTTGCACTTGGCCTCTCTCCTCCGCAGAGGCTCAAAACGTTCGTTATATTATGCGCTTTTGATCATTATATGTTAAAAAGCGCAATATAAATTAATAAATTGTTAAATTATTATTATTATGGAAAGCCGCTGTGCGAGGTGAGTGCAGGCGCAAATTTTAACTCATATCGTTCAGCGGACAATCCCTACCCGGAAAAACCCTTTGAGCCTCTGCGGGGAAGGGGGGTGGGGAACACTGTGTGAATTTTTTTCCGCGCGCGTTGTACAGATTGTT